ATACTCCAGAATTCCAATCAGTAGACGAGTGGCTACAACACATCAACATGGAGAAGTATTCCGAATTGTTCCGAGCAGCACGAATCGATGATATGAGCAAAGTCGCTGAACTGAAGGAAAAACAATTGAGAGAAATGGGCATCAGTTTGATTGGGCATCGAAATAAAATGCAAAAGAGTATCAATGCTATGAAGTCACAACATTATAACGGTGGCATGGATGCAGATTAGTGGCTATGATGTAATCAAGAAAATGCGATTTCTGGAACATTTTCTGCTTGAAACTGAGTTGGTGATCAATAAGCAGCATAGAATTTTTACCATTTTACGAAAGAATGTCGTCAAATGTCTTGAATGTTTTAGGGGACCGGTCAATATTTTAATGCCTGGGTGGGGAGCCTTAGGCTATGTCGTATTCTAATCCCCCCCCCCCCGCTTGCAATCAATTTTCTGTAGTCCTCTCTTTATACTCTGTCAGCGGCGACTAATCTCCCCTTCGTTCCCCTTTAAAACTATGCGATTCTCCCCAAAAGCCTCCAAACCCCCACCACCCCCCTCCTCCCCAGGCGATAAAGAGTGACTGGTCACTTAGATTTACTAGTTCAAAGTTGTCGTACCATATTTCCTTATGTTTTGGAAATAGAGAGTCGTTAACTGCCTTTAATTCTATTAGATTAACCGGTTAAAAATTTCCAATGATCTTTCCTTATGTTATGGAAGGAGAGAACTCGTTTTACTTTAATCATTGCACGAGCTATTCGAACTCTGACCAAGGTTGTCATTCACGAGGAAATAGTGATGGTCCACGGGGCAAATACTGCTACATTTTTACACTCAAGTGCGACAGCTCAAACAACAGATATGACTTTGGAACTTGGGGATCAAAATTTTCTCTCCAGTACAGAGAATTTAATTTTTTATATTGCCTAGATACATATTTTACTTTGAAGTAGAAAGTGCGGGATTTTGATATTCGTGTGTGAGTCTTTTTTCACGAAATTTAAGACGTTTTCGGTATTTTACAAGAACTTACATATGTATTTTACAATTTTTAAGTGAATTACTCCATCACAGAAGGATTAATCACTTGACTATCTCAACAATTTTATTTTTTGATATATTTTTTACTCCATGGACAGTTTCATCATTTTAAATTATGTCAATAATCTATTTTGGAATGATATTATATTTGGAAACAATTTTCTTGAACTGAAGGAAAGAATAAAGCAAATACAGCAGCAACTTTCTGGTTTAAACTCTGTTTGAAGAAACCGTTTATAAAGATCTGGGCTCGTATTTTACAATCCAAAGTGGAAATTAAGGTACATGAAGGAAAGCCTTTTTTTCTGTTTGATGTCAAGCTTGTTTATTCAAATTACACAAGTTTATCATAGCCAATTCATTCAGTAAACTATGTTCATTACGGTAACAAGGTTGTTTTTTAAATACAATTGCGACTGTGTGACTATTACACGCTGGGGAAAGTTGACCTGGCATTGCGTCACTATTTCTTTCAGCGAGTCTCCTCGGTAAATTTAAAATTTGTCACGAACAACTAATAAATCAGAATCAATATATATTTCTCGCACAATTCCTTGGTTGTTACGTTTCTAATACCCTCCTTGATGTAATCTTCGATGAAATAATTCTAGTCTAACTCTGCCGATATTAGGCAAGGAGCAAAAATGAGTGCCTGATGAATTGGAGGGTTAACTTGAAGGGTAACTTGCTGTGCAAAATGATGTCCTCCAGCAGGATTGTTAATACTCCTTGTCGCTTCATGCTCAATATATCGTGATGAGCTGTGGCAGCTTAGGGTACTTGGCTTGTAAAATGTAAGCTTTCTTTCCAACAGAGTTCCCTCAGAATATCATTCCGTTTTTTTTTATTACCATTCAGTCTTTATCACTCCCTAATAACTGTGATCTGCCTATGTCTGTTGGTATATCTAGCGTGTTGCTTTTGTTGTTGTTTTCACAGACGCAAAATTTATTTCATGGTAATGCTTTGTCGTCATGACTCGCTGTTATTTAGCATCAGATGTCTTTATTACAGGCAGCAGGTCTTTCTAAAAGCTGTCAAACCACCTTGCAAAATAAATTTTTGCCGAGCGAAAATCGCTTCAACGTTTAAAGTCCAATTTTTAACAGTGTCGGTCATCAAAAATGGAAAAAACTGCCGAGCTCTTCTTTTGACAAATCTCTGGTATGATAAATTGTTCTTGCTTTGCATATTTAGATCAATCCTCTATCATAACAAATCACCCAAGTTCCGCTTTTTTCACGTTTTTTAACTCTAAAATTATTTTTCAGTTCGAGATCTACTTTGCCGCTGCCGCCAGGGCCACGAATATGCAATTTTAATCTCAGCTCAGCGCAGAAGTTCAACTTCTTCTCCCACCAGACTTGTTAACACAATGTAGAGGAGTATAAATTAATAATAAAAAAGATAAAAACGTGTTATGGTTTCAGCGAACTTTAAAGACAAGCCGGCTAACATATTATGTACATATTCGAAATCCCCACCAAACAATGCACAACCGGCCTGTAGCGAACAGCTCTTGGAGACTGCGTCTCAATTACCTTAAATATTAAGTTTCCTACGTACTTGGTACAGTTTTACTTGCAAGTCTGTGGTATAATTTTGGAGTTCATGAGCGAATGGTAAATTTAGGACTACAATGTACATTGCCGCAGATCGACGCTATCACGGGCTCAAATAAGAAATTTCCTCCTTTAACGCATAGTATGTCTTGTATTTATCGGGAGCAAACTGGCCGTAAGCCCCGATGTATGGGCTCTTCTAACGACTAGGGCTATTGGCTATTTGTAAATCGTAAGTACTTTTCCGATTTCTGTACTTAATCAGTAATGGTTCGTATCAGTCAAAACAACTGCGTGTAGACTAGAGCCAGGACTATAAATCTAATTGGCATGAGATTTTTCGCTTTCTTCATTTAGATGAAAGTGAAAGTCCCTTTCATACTTAAGTACAGCATAACCATGGGAATCTTTGATTAAGTTTTTTCAACGGTAACTTTGCTTAAGGGCGAATTTCAGTCTTCTGATCAGAAGAGCGTTTCGATAAATTTTCCTACGGAATGTGATTACATATGCACTATTAGACCTAAGCTTATTATGAACTTAATTGCTTGCAAACTGAATGAGAAAGTGTGGAAACCCAAGGAAACAACGGTTATTGACAAAAGTAGCGCCTGACCGTTGTAATATAATACCTAAACGTCGACAGTTAGGAAAATATTACAGGCTTCAATATTATATACGCGTAGGACTTGCCATCGCGCAAAGGCTATGACACGGTTCAGTGGTCATATGCAATTTCGGGTAACAAACATTAATAAACGAATGGTGATGATTTAAAGGAAACCGACTGGCTTGAGAATTTAAGGTTATACAGTCTTTTTTTTTTCTCTCAGACTCAACCAAGGATTGCTACTAACAAATCTAGTTCTTAATTCGTTGATCAGCAACAGATTTGTATCACTATGATCATATCTCGAACCGAACTCTCATCAAGCAAATTAACGTCTTAGTGCTATCATCTAAAATTAATAAAGATTACTGTGTGCGTTCGAATTGTCCGCTCAGTCACTTAGGTAACCTTTTGAGGTTAAAACCTTGAGCAAGACTTTTACTCTGTGTCCTCTGTGAAGCCAAGCATGTATATCGAAGAGTAATCACAAATTCACTTTTACACCAGCACTTTAGAAGTTTCACAACGACCTGACAGCCATTCAGTAAAGTATGGGACTCATAGAAAGTCTTGCCTGCATTCGAACTGTGCTGTTAAGTGTCTGGATTGGCGGAACTGATGAGATAGCAAATGTGTACCTCGATTTGCTTCACGGATTCCGT